TAAGTTCAGTATATAAATGATTATGGATATAGGTTCAGTATATAAATTATTATGGATATAGGTTCATGTATATAAATGATTATGGATATAGGTTCAGTATATAAATGATTATGGATATAGGTTCAGTATATACATGAGTACCTCAGCGCGATGTTCAGAATTCTTTGTTCAGTTTTCATGAAGTTCCAGAGCCAAATAGAGGCTTGATTCAGAGGCTCCGTGAAAAACAAACAACTGAGCATGCGCGCAGCTGCGAGGATCAGCGCCGATGATTGACAGCCCTTGGCATGACTCGATTGGTTTAACCTCGACGGCACCGTGGATTATGAACTATAGCTAAGAGAAGGGAAGGCGGGACTTGCCCATAATATTAGAATTAATAAAATGACTTATTTTATATCAACATTTAAGGCCAGGAGTTCAATTTAACACATTTCTTAAAATGTGTAATTCATTTAGAGTTACAGACTATCACTTTAAGGAAAATGTCCCATACATGTGGATTGATGAAACATGTTTCTTGTTTAAGGCAATAATCAACAACAACAAGTTTGTGTCTCAATTCATAAACTCTCTGCTGTAGAACTAACCGTCCAACAGGCGTCAGGACCAGAGGATCAGAGCCGTACCATGGATGTAACAACGGCAGAATGTTGTCAGTGAAGCAACAATCGATGAAAGAGTGAAGAAGAAACTTTGTATCCACATCATAGAAGGAGACCAAACCTTGCTCATGGATCCACAAACACTCCCACCTTCTCTGGATACGACTGCAGAGAGAGACGTACAGGAGGATCATCTGATGTTTGGTAATTAAGATCTTAGTCAAGCAGAGTGTCCAGTCTCCTTTCTGTACAGTTTGAGACCTCTTGGTCCTGGCTCGTCGCACACGACTCTTTGACCACGCCTATTTCCCAACCTCATAATATACAACTTTCCTGATGAGGAACTTTGTTTCCCTAAAACTCACCAATGATATATAAATCTCTCAGGGTTGTCTGGGAATTCTGTGTTTTGTCACAATCATGAGACCTTTTGAGATCTTTAGACAGAACTAATTGAGGATGTGCTGTGTCTGAATCACGAGAAACCTCAGCTGCAAACTCTGTACCTTTCCTCAAATTCTGCTTCAAAGAATGTCCTCCATCTCATGTGTCTTTGGCTCCTCACTCATAGACACAGCTTGGGGGCCCCCTTGTCCCCATGTATGATGGTCCTGACAGTACCTTCGGCTCTCCAGTCGCTGAGGTTGGTGGAGTCAGGTCGACGTGTAGCATGAAGGGTTGGACAAAATGCAGGGTGGTCTCAGAGGTCCACTGCTGCTCCATACTCAACTTCCGCTCTCTTCTCCAGCTCAGAGATCTCTGTCTGGGATCTGCTCTATCAGCGTGAGGCCTCCCTCTCCACCTCTGCTGCCTTTCTACAATGCTTTGTTTGAAGCTGTCTGCTCTCTGCTAACACATCCAGTCAAAGCCTGAAGACATCGAGACCTTCTTGTATTTCTGCGTCTGCCTTTCTCGACTCTGCGCCACGAACGCTGGATCGCCTGGACCTTCAATCAACGTCTATCGTATTCTGTAGCTTCAGTGTGGCCTGCTGGTCCTCTCCCCCCTGCCGCCTTCAATATGACAGTATCAACTTTGTAATCAGCTGTATAACAGGCACTGCACTCACTTGAAGTGTGAGGTGGTCCCGACAGAAGATCTCCCAGGGGCCGCTGGGTGCGCAAGGGCAGATGTGCTCCCTCCAGGTTGAGAAGAGGTGGATCAGCTGGGGCCTCTATAAGACGGGGAGTTTGGGAGGTGTGGCGCAGTGCGCTCACAGTACGACTTGCAGACACAGCAGGCAGGGACTTCATGGCTCTGAGCCTGGGCTCGGACACAGGTCACAGAGACCTCGTCCGGAGCAGTGGCCTGAGGCACCATCAGCAGATCGTCAGCTTGGAGCTTTCTTTCTGAACTGAGAGACCATCGCTAACATAAAAGTACTGACTCTTTCAGCTGTGGCTGGGGCTGAAGTCCTGGTGCTACTGAAAGGACAGCTGCAGTCTGGACACTGTTGTCACCTGTGGTTGGTTGATGGCAGATGCTGCCGAGAAGCTGTGTCCACACGGTGTGGTGACTGGATCAGTGAAGGACCGCCATACAGATTGGGAGCTGAGGGAGACGCTCCTCACAGAGAGAGGAGCTCACAGCCCGGTAGGCATCGCGGCAAGATAACAGAGAACACATTGTGGTTTCTATCGGTATGAAAAAGAGGCTTCTGTGCTCTGGTCTGATCTCTGGTCTGATCTCTGGTCTGGATCCTGTCTGATCTCTGGTCTGATCTCGTGGTCTGATCCGGGTCCTGCTGTTTATTTGACTTCTTGCTTTGCTTAAAAGTCCTGTATTTAAAATAAAATCCGTAACCTCACAAATAAAATTGACTGATGTTTGTTTTGGCAACTACGCCATTAGGAACTGCAGGCTCACTGTTGCCACCCTTTGGGTGAGGCAACTGATACTGCCTCCGCGCCAGCTTTTTCCTGTGTGTGGCATCTGTCACCTACACAAACAAACAAACGTGGCAAGTAAACACCATGACAAGGTCTAACACAGTTTCAAAGCAGATATTGGAAACGAACAAAGGAAGGATCCCATCTCCACATGTTAGATGTTTGTGGGCAGGACATTTTCTGGAGGATTTAACCCATAGGTTCTTCTTTTGAAGGAGATTAGGCTAACCGGAGCACCTGGGAGAAGCCACCCAGACTCAGAGAAACTACCAAAATTTCACTCAGGCAAACACAACAACACACCGTGAAGCACTCATAGAGAGAGCGCGTGCGCGACAACAGAAAGCACACTGACACACATAGACTCACCACATGACAGCACACACACAAGAGCAGCGACGCAAAAGACCCACACATGCATGCAGACAGTCATACAGACAAACACCAACTACACAGTCGCCTCACAAACACACTGGGGGCCGGCCGTCCAATACTCGCACTATCCACCCTCGCGCCCCTCATTGCGCGGTGCACCAATAAAGGTGCGAGTGCGTAGGTTGTCGCCAATTCGCCTGGGAGGTTCTTTGGCCCCGCAAAAGATCCACACTTTTGGGCCTCGTAGCCGGCTTCTAGGCGCACTCTGGCGAAGGGATAATTGCCCATTAATTCTTTGGCGGTACACGAACAAAAAACTCGGGGAAAATGCGATTAAATATTTCAATGTGAAATATTTATGCAGTATGTGTGTAAATAAGTTTTGCTGTACTTGAAAGAAGCAGAAACGTGCTGAGTGAAAGCAATTGGGCTATATGCACGGGGAGGCGTGACGTCATTTCCTGTGTATCAAAAGCACAACATCCCTTTGTCCACTTCCTGCCTATGCTTTGCCTATGGCTTTTTCGGTGGGTTTTTAGGGACAGTTTTCTGTACTTGAGAGCGGATACATTCTAGCTGTGAACTGACCGTACAAAAGTGTCACTGGGCTTATCCTCTCTGTTGTAGAGCTTGGACGGAGGCCACACAGAGCGATTGTAACTTTATAAAAACACTATGACAGCAACCAATCAAAGAGCACGGTGGTGTCCCAAAAAATGCCAGTTACCTCATAGTATAATTTCTGTTTGAGCATTATGTGGGAAACTCGTGTAGAACCTGTGCTGAACTCCAGTGAAACTTCAAGCATTGCCCGCGAACCCGCGAAGTGAGGTGGGGCTTTTAGCTTAAAACGCGTAAGGGGGCGTGCAATAGGAAGCCCCGGCGATCCAAGATGGCGCCCTATTCAAATGAATGGTTGTGCTCATGGCGCTTTGTGACGGCATGGGGGCTGAAAGATTAGCGGAAGTTGCCTGAAACTCGCAAAGATCTATGGGAAACTCGCCTGTATTTGGGCATCGTCTGGTCCTCCCGGTTCTGCGCAGTGGATGATCTCCCATAATGCGTTGCGCCAAACACGCGTGTGTGGGTCTCACACCGGGTCTCACGCACGTGCACAGAGGGGCTCGGCCGCGCTCTGACCAATCAGAGCAGTTCATCAGAGCGGGAGTTAGAGCAAGAGCCCAGAGGAGCAGAGTTTGTGGCACTAAAGTGTGGATTTAAACAAAACCGAAGGAGTTAAGAAGAAAAAAAGTTCAGGATGACAAGGGACACTAAAATCCCCACCAAAATCCGATCTTTATGAAAGCTGTAGGTTCTCTGTCAGCTGAGGTTGAGCTGTTTTAATCTATGCATTGAGGTCTATGGGGATATAATGTCTGGGTGGCCCACGGGAATTTTAGTCATGGTCTCAGTCTGCTGTACCGCTCGGGAGAATCCCCCTGAGCACGTGAGTTGATTCAGCTACAAGCTAGTAAATGACCCCGATCCAGTTATTATTAATGCATCCATGGTGCATGAGCCTGTCCACGCCCTTTTTCGTCCCAAACCGGAGTTTTGTCCGGGAAGTTTCAGATTGCGCATGTCAAAAAACGTTAATTAGGCCTTAAGTGGTGATGGGTTAAAGTTTGAGCGTCTATTATGATGGGCTATTTAGGGTTAAGGCTGGAGTTGGGGTTATTTGATGGGAATGGGCTGTTTAATGAAGGCATGAATAGGTAGTTTTTATAATTTAACTCTCCAGCTTCCGTCCAGATTCCGTGACGTATTCTACTGCTGCGTATATCATCTGGAGTCTAACTGTACTTCTGGACGAATCCTGGTTTCCGGACAAAACAGGAATGGACAGTGTCTTATTAGGACAGGGGGGTACCGGGACAGTTTGCGTTTTTCAAATTTAATAATTTAGTTGAAAAGCAAGCGTTTATATAACTGTTCAATTTAAACTTTACACTTAGTACAAATATCTTAGAATAGTATAAAAACTAACTGACCAGAATAGGTAGTTTCCCACTATTGTAAACTAAAATTATACAGCTATCTTTAATTAAAAACTACACTAGAACCTTGTATTAATAAAGTGTGTGATGCAAGTTCATTTGTTTCCCAAAGGGTCAGACATAGGGACCTTTATATTGCTTTATAAAAGTTTAGGTCTGAAAATTGAGAACCGTACGCTTCTTGACGAGTCGAATGACGTAACCTGGCACTCAGTTGTGCAACTGGTCCCCCATTCCACCACCTTATGTTTGCACACTTGGAACCTGCACACCTCCTACCCTGTGTGCTCTTCGAGACTAAATGCACACGTCGTAGAGGGTGTAGGGTGCAGGTGGGTATTGGGAGTGGGCCACAGTTCATGATAAGCGTCTCTCACACATAGACACACCACACACACACACATAGACACACACACACACACTTAGCACACACCCATAGCAAATAGAGAGAGCGGCAGTTACTACAATCGTATAGCACTGAAATCGTTATGGCTTCCTCTTTGCCCAGTACTCATACAGTCTCACCTTACTCAAGAGGGATACACACAGAGTCTGATGACTGATTTCTTGAGTTTGTGCCAGCACCACCTTTCCGCCTGGCTCTGTGTAAGTTTTGTTTCTCTTCTTCTTCTAAGTTTTTTTCCGGGCCAGCTGTGCGCCGGTACAGCGCAATGCAGCCTCCTCCGTCATCTTCTCCACAGCCAAATAATATGGGTGACTAAATTCTCGAGACTATGTTCGGTAGATTTAGCAGATATTGTAAAAGGATACTCCGATCTACAGAACTGAAAACCCGCGATTCCGCAAATAGACTCGCTATTGAAAAACTTTAAAAAACCGACAGTCACTTAAATCACACAGCATCCTCTCTCGCTCCACTGCGTACTTCTGACAGTCCGATAGCTCATGCGTACGCTTTCCATCTCTGCCACATTGACAAAGTCCAATCTGGATGTTTTCCTAGAATCTTTAAACAGGCAGCGAGCAGGCAAGGCCCCAGGTCTGGCCTCAAGAGATGACCTGGTGTTTCTCCGTCTTGGTTGTCTTAAATAAGACCCTATTGTTTTTAACGTAGTTGACTACTGACTATAAGTCTTCCTTCCGCTGTTTCCCTTTTGTTGCCATTCGCTCATGACCACTCCTGATCAACCCAGCTTCTTAAAAACCTCCACAACCTCTGCTTGACCTAAAGTACCCTAAGGCCTATTGAGGCCCCCTTTCAGAAGAGACGGCGAGCAGATTTCACTATCTCATTTCCTAAAATCCGCGCAGTGTCCTGGGGACCCAAACTAAATTAACGTCGTTAACCCAACCCCGCCCAATTGCATCGAGTAAGACATGACAGTACTATCAACTACCAGATCAGGGGAACTCCCTTATTATAGATCCATATTGAGCAGCCGGGCAAATGCCGCAGGCCAATCCCTGGGTTGATTTTCTCTACCCATTGCAAAGCCCACCAAATAGCAAGAAGCGCAGCAGAGAACACAGATTAGACCAACGCTAATGTCGTACTACTGAAATTAAAATCACAATTCTTATTACGGACACCAATCCTGCACCTCTAGACCCTGGATCCGTTGAACCATCTGTAAACACATGCACACAGTCTGCTTGGAGTGTCCACTGCTGTACTTCTCTACCACTTGTCTGTTGCCCTGTGCCGTCGCCCCCCCAAAAAAATCCAACTGCATTGCAGGTTCCTGACCGTTCTGGACTTCCAGCCAGAAAGGGAATGGATGAACCAAATGATGCCCAGGACCAACCCTACCACTTTATCTCTAATCCTTCCCCTTTTAGCAATCTCTTTTAACCCGACACAAAAAGGTAGCTCTTTTTCAATTTCTTTTTAATCAAAACTCCCAATATGCACTCACTAGGCATTTGCAGACGAATTGGTGTTTGGAAATCCCCGCTAATCTTGCCAATACTGGAGCCCAATTTTGTTGCCTCCTAATTCCAAGAGGAGTTTCTCGACCACAGTGCTTGAATAGGTGGTGTCCGAAAAAGCTCCACGGCAGGATTCTTAAGGCTTTTTGATTGTACTCGGTCAAGTTTTGTAAAGACCGTTTTAGAGGCAGCCCCATATACAAACAACCATAATCAATCGAGGACCGAATCTTTGCTCTATAAATCATGAGCATATTGTTTCTACTATTTGCTCCCCATCACTGCAGTGCCAGTCAAGCACCGTGCGCGTAAATTATTTATCCTTTCAACATTTAAAAGTGAGTTTCTCCGTTCCTTCGTCTTCAGTTAAATTTGCCAGCAGACTGTATGCAGGGCGTGCGGCAATGCGCCCTCCACTAGAATAGGCAGGTAGGCTACACAAGATCCTTGTTCATAAGACCAG